TTCACTTCTTTGTCCAGTGCTTTGTAAGTTGAGCTCATCATCTCTTTCTCCTGTCCGTCCTTGCATTGAATCATTTTCTCTTTCACCATTCTCCTCTCTTCTATTAATTTCCAAGCGTCCGTTGAGAGCCATTACTTGTCTTGTCTCTTCTTTCTTCCTAGAACCGTTGAACACGTTTCGTTGAGAGTCGCCTTCAGAGACTTCCAATGTTCTTCCACGCATGATTCTTCAGTGATATCGCGTAGTGTTCCCCGCTTTGCTTTGACAGTTGCAGTGAAAGTGTCTTTTGTGGTTGTGTCCTTCAGTTTCTGAGTGTTGAACTTGCATTGTGGCTTATCATGACCGATGTAGTAATAAAAAATTAACCCTGAGTATTTTCCAGGGTGCAGTCTCGTCGAAATAGAGTTTGCAGATGATAGTGTCCTCCTAGGTGAAAACGTGTACGAAATGCAGTCTTCTGAAGACCTGGAGCAGAAATCTTAGAATGTTCGACATTCGATACGCTCCAAGGAAATGTAAGATGACGCTACAGGACTAGACTGCACCTACTTCTAGCTTTAAAATAGAGAGTGAATTGGTAGGGCGTGTTGAGCACTTCACTTATTCTGGAATTCGCATCAGTGCGATGAACTGAATGCTGACGAAATCTCAGCACGGATACAAAAGGCTCGTGAAGAATTATCCAACTTACACCATCTCTTGAGCAGACGTTATATTCAACTATCTATCAAAGGACGCGTGTACTGCGAAGCAGTGACATGGCTGTTGAAAGTGGAAGATATTAATAGACTAGCCGTCTTTGACTGCAGGCGTTTGTGTTCTCTTTCTGGTATTTAGTGGTACGATATAGCGAGTAATATTAAGGCTAGGATTAGAGTAATAGGTAAGAAGAGCAAATCAATCGATGAGATTGTGAAGTTGCATCAATAGAGACGGCTAGGACACGTGTCGCGCATGTTCAGCCACTGCCTTCCTCGACGAGCAATGTTAGCTAACATGAGATTTGATTGGGAAAGAGTTAGGTGCAGTCAAATCAAATCAATCATGAAGTGTTTGACAGTTAGTTCTAACCAAATAGGGAGTTATAGACTGTCGGACTGCCGAACACCAATGACTGGAGACTATTGGTGACATGGCTAGGAAACCGGTTAGTCTTTTAATATCTCAGGAATGGTCTCGCTGGTCATTGGCTTTTCGGGAAATATTCACCTAATGGGTCTGACAAGTTTTCTATTGTTACCTACCGCCGATATCTTTTCAATATCTTTCGCTTTTGTCGTTCATAATTGTTCACGATCAGTGAGGTGACTTTTAAGCATCTTTCACTTCTCATCATGTTCGGAACACGCAGAAACCAGTCTCCTTTCGTTTATTACTTCTGTTGAAGTAACAGAAATCCACTGGCATCCACTAATCTTTGGTTGTCAACAGCCTATATCGCAGTTTCTACACCTCATCGGATATTATAGCAGGTTTCCTGTGGATGAGTCTTGCTGTCAACCTGTAGTACGTGTTCAGTTATTTCTCCTCTAAATAAAGATTTTGTGTCCTCATAAAATTGGGGGCGTTATGGCTTCATAGCAGAGTGTTCCTTATGCCTATTCAGTTGTAGGCATAAACACGCACAGATTAGAGCGTGATCAGAGCCTACGCAAGTGTTCCAGATGCAGCGGCAGTGTCCTTCCGATCCCCTTCACATATAGCATATAACTACTTTATCTGTTTGAGTTCATCGTTGACTTCATGATGTAGGTCGTGAGGTTAGCCAACATCTCTTATGTTCAGAGCTGGTGCTGAGAAGATAAGGAAGATTATCTAAACAGAACTGCAAAAGAGGATCACATTTGTAAGTATGTCCGCATGGAGACAAAAGCGCTGTCAATATACTTTCCTGATTGACCCAGCTTCCCTACTTGGGCGTTGAAACCACCTGTTAAAATCATTATATCTGAGCGTTTTGCTCTTAGTAACGAACTAGGCAGCCTTTTGATGGAATTAATCCTGTATTTCACCTGAACTGCAACCGGTCTGGGTGTAAGCAGAAATTGGGAAAACACATCGATGGATATCAAAATCATCCCTTCTTTCAACGGATCGGTTCAGCCAGAAAGCATACTGACGACTATACACTGAAATCTACTCGAGTAGCAACTTCTCTGCCGTGACACTCAATGCTATCCGTATGTCTGCAAATCCTCGCGAACTAACGGAAAAATTTCCTGACCCCCGTAAACTGAATTTCGCAGACTCACCCTGTTGGCCAGGTTTGGTCGAGTGAATAACCACAATAGGGTCTTGTATGCGTCCCTCCAAAACACAATACACCCGTGGCTCGAGGTGCCACAATTCTGGCTGGTGGAGCCTCTGTCTGGTTTGGTAAAGGGTTCTTACGTTAAATGCTCTAATTTGAGGTTGGCAGCATAGTCTTAATTGCTTCTCCGGCTTTGGTTGTTACTAATGGTCGCAAAGTTGGGAGAATGTGGAAGACCTACCGGTGGAATAGTATCAGCAGTGGGAAGGAAGCTAGAGGATGGTGAAAAATATTAAGGTTGGTGATGATCAGGGAAACTTTGTGTACTTATGGAAGTGTGTGGGTAGTTATTACTTCCCGATTGCCCACGTCGTGGAAGTTGATTCCTTCTTGAAATATCTAAAACAGAAGCAAAGTATGTGTTATGTGGCTGCAGATCTCAAGGGAAATCTGCTTGATTCTCATCACACACGGTTTATTGAGGTGGTTTTCGGAGTTGTATCCGCTTGAAGATCTTACCTCCGACTACAAACTGCTGCGAGGTAAGTCGGGATGTACAACTTTCGGAGTCGACCTTTTCTAATTCCCTTCTCCAGGTCAGAGGAACAGAATAGCCACTTTACTGTTACATCTCTGCTCATCAGCAGTATGACTTGGCCCTCAGAACCCCAACATAGCACAGTGTGAGCGACATACACTACAATGATAACTGCTCTTAATCTAACTACCAACCAAACGATCTTTCTAGCTTGGCAGGACCTACAGAAATATTGGGAGAGTGTGGTTCGCTGGATCGTTTTGATATACAAGCCCGACCACCATGTCAACCTAGCAGCTATCGATAGGGATTAAACTAATCAGCTCCAGGTCCAAATTTCATTGCACATACTCTCAACTAGGTGATTAGATGGTATCACTAACCATCACGGTGAAACGATGCTACTTACAACTGCAAAACCAGCATTTCGTCGTCAATCCTTGACGAAAAGTAACTGAGCCTTTTTATATACTTTCCAAAACTATACCACCCAGGAGTGGATGATATCTCTGAATAAACGAAATGATTAACGTGCTCAACTTTACCTTCTATTGTAAAATTAGGTCATAATGCGTGTTTCCTGTATTTCAAAACGGACTACGGTGAAAAATATGCTTGTGTTATGTAATGTTACGTGCTTAATACACATGTTTTTGCTTCATTTATCTGATGTAGTAATTTAGTACTAGAACCTAGCTAGCAGGAAATCTTGCTTTGAAAACATGTTTTTGCTGGCCGGCGTTTACAAGGCAAGACTTATTAACCTGATATTTTTAACATTGTCAGATTGTGAATTTTCTAATTTTTGCCGTAAAATCCTACGGGTGTATTTCTGCTTAAGTTGCCTAGTCTTTTGTTTAATAATACTTTTATCTCGTCAGATGAGATATTTAACCACTAACTAGAAGGTCATCGTCACAGAGAACAGAAATACAGCCCAATGCTTAGATGAAAAGCTTTGAGAGGCAGCTTATCGACCTTTAATATCACCACTGATTGATTGATTATACTTCATTTGAAGTTTGACTTTATAGACAGCTGAACTGAGCTGGAAGGACTACTGGAAATCAGGGCGCACTGAGCAGCTGACTTGTCCTACTTTGAGACAAGAAAAAGCGTTCAGTCAAGAGTTACTCTTTTCAGCGATATCATTCTATACTTTGAGACTTCAGCAGTGAGTACTAATTAGAACACTAAGGATCGAAGCTACTCCATAAGCAGAAAAAAGTTGCCATTTCGCCACGGTTCTAGATAGAATTCTAGGGGACGACAAGCACTTAAGCGACAGTTATATGATAGTGCCCGTATTTATGATACAAAGTACTTATTCTACTTAGACCAGACAACGGCTAGCAAATCAACTCAGAAAAATAGTTTGATTTCCCAGAATACATAATATATTTCGGGATCGGTACTGTTGAGAAGGGATGCGAACTTAGCTAACTAGAGATCATGCGCAAAAAACAGAACTTAACATAGCGTGCTGAATGGCGAAAATACTTGAACACGTACCTCCTGCTTAACAGTGGAAGTCAGCAACCAATGTTGAATGATGAAAGCTGTAAGCTAATAATTTTGGGGAATTATTGACCATTAACACAGTCAAAGACACTGAAGTGTTACATTAACTAAGGACGGTGGCAGAAAATATTTTGCTTTCTATCATTCCTACGTAGTTTGTTGCTACTCCATGTGTTACGTATGCCTAATCATCGCCTTCCTTGACTGGCAATGTTAGCTGACATAGGGTCAGTGGTGGTCAAACCAAAACATGACTTCATCAGTCAATGACATTCACAACAGTTAGTTTAAGCCAGTCACGTGAGAAGATGTAGACTTGCTGGTTGGGGTCCTCGGGACGGTAAAAACCAATGGCTGGAGACAATTGGTGATATGGCCCAAAATCGTTCTCAATGGCGCAAATGTATCCACTCCCTGTGACTTATTAAATCCAATAAAACCACATTGTTCTCCCATATTACTATTCTTTTTGCCTCGCATCGTTGTTTACTGTCTCTGTTTTGCATTTCTTTTTACTTCTCTCGCTTTGTATGCTATATGAAGTGTGGTTACTCGAACTGCTGTGCATCTGTGCAAAGTTCTACGTTGAAACCAGTCAGTCGGTTGCTACTACACTTGACTAGTGTAGTTTTCAATGTCCTATTCTTTTTGTTACATTTCTTTCAGTCATTGTGCTTACTAGTCTTTCCTATTTGGCTGACTAATGAATTTGTTTTGTGAATGCCAAAAATCAATCGACTCCAGGTTGAAAGAAATCTCGTTATACCGTAATCAATTTACTCTGGTTCTTTAGGCTTATTAATTTATATCTTTCTCTCTTTCTCACACACACACACACATTACCCTAATTCTATGTTTTCAGAAAAGTGATAAGAATTCAAAATAATGGTTTATTTACAAGCTTTAAAAATATTGTAAAGCTAAGGCAAAACAACAGAGAATAGATTCGCAATGGCAAGAAAGGAAGATATGAATAAGTTAACAAAGATGGAGAGAAAACACAAGGCTATTCCATAAGAGTGGTTCAGACTTCTTCTCTTGTTCCTACCCTTCAGCAGCAGCAGCAGCATGGTCACATCACGCATTGTATGTACACACAGATATTTACTGATTTATGAACAGAGTGAAGACATCGTTACCGGTGGTCGTAGTCGTGGGAATGATGGTGGACAAGATCATTAATATTAGCGGTAGTGATTATGTGTTTGCGTTCTATTAGGAATGTTTGTTTTAACACAATACATATATGATCCCACCTTATTTATACTACAAATATGTTTATGATAATTCATTTGACTTCATCTCTATCCATTCTCCAGTGTGTCGCCAAACTTGTCTAAACTTTACTGGTATAATTTACAACTGTTAAGACTTATGTTAACATATACAATGCTGGTGTTCGATAAAATATAAAAACGGAATTAAAACATATGGATAAAATCTTACATTCCACAACTGTTTGTGTTAAGTTTTATGTTGTTCGTTTTTTGAATTGTATTGACGCTGATAATTGTAATTGTTATTTGGATATGGATTGAGTTGGGTATAAAGTGATTCATTATTATTGATACTATTTATACCTTTACTATTGTTTATATTTGTATCCATATACGATTTCCATTTCAACATCATAAAGGATTCATTCAGTCCATCAGACTGGCTAATTCCACGAAGTGGTTCTTCAAGTTTCTGTAATGTTGCGAGACGGTTCGGTGATAAATCTGAGGAACTTGATGACCAGTGATTCGGTGATTCACTATCCTCTGAACCCATAGGATGCCGTATATTTAAACCATTATTACTATGATTATCATTAAAAGTATAATCAACTTTTGATAGAGTTTCACGGATTTTTTTAACAACATTGCCACTATCACGATCATCAATGTTATTGCTACTATTAGTGGCAATAATAGAAGTCGTACTGTTTGACACACAAGTAGAATATTGTTTAAAATTATCTTGTTTATAAAGTGTTTGTTTCTGATTTATAGAATATTGCGCACAGCTATCAAATTTATCACGCATAGTACAATTATTATTAAACACAGGCATGCTGGTATTACTGCTTGACCAATTGCCAACGTTATTAGCTGTTGTTGTCGTCATGATAGTAGAAGTATCACTGATATTAACTTTTGAAGTAACCTCACCACCAAATGATGACTTGGGTGTTGTTAATGCCTTTAAATTATTATTTGTCATCAATAAAGATGGGGATGATGATTCTGTTGAGCCAAACATTATCGTTGGTTTGGTCGCTGAAGTATCAATAAGAGTGTCCATTATTTTTGGGTTATAACAAGTTGGGAAACTTTTGGTCGACTGTTTCTCATTTACATTTATCGTATATGGTTTTAGCATTGAATTATGCGGGACTAGTGTATCCCCATGTACTGACGTATGGATATAAGGCACATTGGCAAATTCTGTTTTGCAGTAAGGTGACGTGCGACTAATATTATTACTACTGCTACTCCTATTATTGTTATTTTCATACAATTTAGAAGGTAAAAAGTAGGGATAATATGATTTCTCTGGTGATGATTTTGCTACTGTTGTTGTTGCTGGTGGTGGTGGTGGTGCTCTTGCTGTTATGGTTTTATTTATCCTACCAATAAGTCTATTTGCATAATGTTCAATATCTGCATTATGTGTAGTGGCATATGTATCTAATAAATTGACAATATCATAATGTCCACCTAAATAAGCTAAATCCTTTGGTGTACGATCTAGGTAATCAGCTAAATTAGGATTAGCACCATTTAATAATAATACACTGCAAATGTTGATAGCACCTTCTCTACATGCTAATGCTAATGGTGTTTCTTCATGCAGTGTTTGAGCATCACATGTTGCACCAGAATTACACAAACTATTAACAATTTGTGACTGATCAGTCACAGCTGCCCAGTGTAATGCTGTGCGTCCAAAACTATCCGATGTATTAATATCGAGAAAACTTAATGCATTGTCTTCGTAAGTATACTCTACACCATTGGCTGTTATTGTACCCGGAGATAAAGATGGCATTGATGATGACGACCGATATTGTACTAGATCATTTGATGTAACAGTTATATCGAATCCAGTACACTCTTGACCATTTGAGTGATTTGATTTTTTTAATGCACAAACTAATGCATTCATTGCATTCAACAGCATAGTAAATATATCTACAGTTGAAAAAAAGATAAAATAAAATACAGCTAACAGTAGTAATTTATGATATTTTATAAATTAGCTGCTAATATATCTCTAGAAACATATACACAGTACTGCACCTTTTCACCAGTTAACGGTCAATGTATTCATCGCTACACAATAAGTAGAAACTATGGGAGGTTAGACAGTCAGGGAAAGTAAATTAACTCTGGTATCAAAAAGATATGATAACACCAAATAATCACTAGTCAACAGCATCCTAGTGTTTAAACACGTGGACTTTAGATTTTAGATACAGTTTTACTCTGCTGAAGAACTCAGAAAAGGATTAAATTTTATCACAATCTAAAAGCAAATGATATTAAACCGACAGCTATTGGTGGAATGAAAATTTAACTTGCTTTAAAGTACTAGATAAAGACAATCACTATACTTATCACCAGTTAACAATGTCTAAAGTAACTGGATAGTGTATCTAGTTCGGTCAGCTTACACGACTGCTGGTAGTTCGATATGGTAGTCTTTCTATCACTCAATACTTAGCTTTCCTTTCTTCCCACCCAACATTTTGCAACAGTCGCGTGAGCATATCCACTGCGGTCTCTCCATCCGATTCAGAGCTTCCGGAGGAACTCCGTTTGCTGCTGATGTTGACCTCCCCACTCCCCCACACACACTAACCTTCAGCCTCCGCTGCATTGCATTCAGGAGTTTTGTTTCTCTTGGATAAGTGGTGTCTACTGGCAGTTCTATGAGTGCTGTTCGCGGTGGTATTTCTCAACGAGCTGAAGGTGGTGGTGGCCGGTTAAGGAGTCGTTCCAAGTGATCCACCTATTGTTTTCCATTTGTCTCTCCACCTTGGTAATTATTATTAGGTTCCCCTCACCATCTCTAATTGGTTTCATCATCTGGGTTGATCTCTTCCCGGATGATGGATAGAGACCTGCTTATTTAATATATAATGTTCTCAGGTCAATACCTCCTGCGGCCTATCTGTTCTGCTTCACTTGCCTGCCAGCCAGTGTGTCGCCCAACTATCTTCTGTCTTTTATACCACTCTCCTTCATGACCTTATTCACACAGATGTACAGTACATTGAAGTCAGCTTCTACTTCTCCTCTCTTCTTCTGTCCTGTCCATCTCGCGTCGCATTGTCTCATCTTCTTCTTCTTCTGCTATCTCACCATCCCTCCTATTCTGTCTATTAGCTACCTAGCTAGCTTCCAGGTGTCCGGCCGTAGAGAGACAGCCAGCCGGCCATTTCTCGTCTCGCCTGCCTACTCTTTCTTTATAGAACGACTGTGCTGGTTCACTCGGACATCGCTTTCACTTTACACAGTTCCAGTCTCCTTCCACACACGTCTCCTCCCTCATCATCTCCGAAGAACTTCCTCTCATGGTTGCACTGAAGGTGTCTTCTGTAGTTTTATCCTTCCACTTCCACACTGTTCAACTTCAATTGTCGTCGTCTGTCTCCAGTTCTTCCGAAGGCCTTCACTTTGACATTGAAGTAGAGTTACGGCCTGAGTTACTTTTTCACTCACACTCTTGGGCGACAGTTAATTTCTCTTGTTGCAAAATATACGTATCCATCCGTGGTCGTCGGCGTCTTCTGATTTTCCTCCTCGGGTTGGGGCAAATTAATTACTACTAAACAATAGCAGTCTTTACGTTATCGTCCGTTATATCTTGTTATCCATATTTACACATCTACTGCCTTACCCGAACTTGTGTCCAGCACACTGGCTGCGTCCCCATGTCCTTCAGCAGTAGTGAGATGAAGTCTGTCTCATTTTGCGCTTGTCCATCAGATGAAACCCATGTTGCCTTGTGCATATGCATATACTTGTGCTTGTACTCGCTACCTCCAATCACCAAATCATTGGAGGTATAGAAGTCCACAGATAGGGGAGAAAGAGAGTGAGTTCTCCGTTCTCATTCATTTCGCCAACCGACAGCCTCTCCACTCATCAGGATGATGAGTTCCCTTCATGTATTCTCTGTCTGCTCCCAGCTCGGCACTCACATCACCCATTAGCATTTTGATGTCGTCATTTCGGATTCTATCCATTGCTGTTTGCAGCTATCTATAGAAATCTTCCTTCTTCTTCTTCTCTCTCTCTTTCTCTCAGTTATGTTCTTTGTAGGCACGTACCATTGGACAATTGTAACCTTTGGTTCTTTCTTCCTTCCCTCACCCCTTTTGAGTCGAATATTGTTATTATAATGCTGCAGGAGGAGATTGGTTCCCAGTGCGTAAGAGCTTTGGCTTCTGTTAGTGATATCATGATAGGCGATCACTGTCTGCCTCAGTGTGCTCGTGGTTTTCATCTGGGTGACCAGATTGGACTACTGGCTCTCCAGTTAACAGTTAAGTTAGTCCATATCCGTTCCATCTGTTCTCATGGGTCCCGAGAACTTGCATACCTTTACCTTCGTACACTGTAAGAACATTCCACGTCCCCATTATTATTCTTGCTTTCATCGGAACAAGACACACAGATTGACTGGTCTTCTCGAATTCTTTCGCGGGGTGTCATCATCTCAATCGGCGGAAACAAATTTTTTTCTATATACTTCGTATTTTTTAAAATACTTTTCTTATGTGTTGTAGGTTCTGTGACTTTTGAATTAGTTTTCCGGAGTAGGGTCGCCAATCCTACGTCCAACCCTCCCTTTTTCCGGAGCTTGGGACCGGCTAGAAAACTAGGCGAGGTTATTTCAGTTGATACCGCGTATTACAATATTCGAAACGTGGTCTGAGCTTTTCTTTAGTTTACAGCATTGCAACATTCCAATTTGCTGATGAAATACCACTTACAAAACCAACCTCCTCTATCCTGGTGAGAATTCGGTATGTACTAGTATTATCCTTCTTCTTATAAACTATCACCATGGTTCGACCACTGAAAAATTTTAAACAAGCTAACTTTCTGATTTACGCCACTGCGAGAATCTTATCGAAGGTCGTGCAGTGGAAAGTGTGGTCAATTAAGGCAAATGACAACAGTCTCCTGAGTATGATAACTACTGCCGAAAGTATGAAGGTGATTAGATGAACAATAAAGACCTTAAATTTAATAACGAACCAACCTCAGTTAGAGAACCACTGATAACCAGGAAGTACTGGACAGCTGTTTCGTCCTAGTTTGAGACTCTTCATCACTACGTACACATGTCCCCACCTGGGATAGAACCAATGGCCTTCAAGTTACGAGACCAGCAGTCCCCTAACCGAAGTCAGCTCACGTTCTAAGATGAAATCGACCAAGTCCACACAAAACAACAAATGAACATTAATAAGGATCTGTTCACGTGTATATTAGTCTTCGACATAAAACGCATGCATTCTTCAAGATGCAAACCTGTGTAATATTTTATGAATCATTCAAATAGTCATAGATTTTTTAAACGACAATGTCAGAATTTGAATTAATGTTGAAAATAGGAGTTAAATTTGCTATTTAGTAAGCAATATTTATCTGAAACTTTTCTAACCCGGATCACATACACATTTCTAACACATAGTAACAATTACAAAAGTAGGTTTAAGGCTATTGCTCAATTATTTTAGCCACTTATTATTGGTTTCATATTATAAGCTCCATCATCAACCTGTTGAGGTCTTCAGAATACAACATTACCAGAACTATTACTACATGAAATGCAAAAAACATGCAGATTTATTATTCTTACCAGTATCTCCTAATTTAATTGATTGTATTAGAGGAGTTGTTGAATCTTGTTGCATATTCGGAAGATAACAAAATGGATTAAAACTAGATACTGGATGACTTAAAATCATTTGAACTGATTCATTTGCGCCTGCGCTAACGGCTGTATAAAGCGCTGTCCGACCTTCGTTGTCAACAGCCGAAATATCTGCACCGGCATCCAGTAGATTAGATACAGCTTTGCTTAGATTATATCTAAATTTTAAAGAATAAACTACGAAGTAAGGCACTGATTTTTCAGTAAAACCATGGGAATGATGCAGGAGTAATGATAACATTCAGTAATCACATTTTAGTACATGAAGCTCCTCTACTAATCAAAAGGCTAAACTACTTACTGAGAGGCAAGTAAAAAAAAGAAAAGAAAGTGCGGAGAAATTGATCCGGTGATGTGTGACATACTTTATGGCTCAAAAATATGTCCAATTTACTCTGCGGAATCTTGAATTGGTAAGACATATTACATGTGAAAAGGCAGTTTCATCCTGTTGGCTTGGTGAATATACCATAGTTTAGTATTTCTCAGTGGTGAAACTAAAATCACTCGGATCTCAATCATATAATTACAATGATCGGGGTAATACACTGAAAAAATGCATTACCGCATTTTTTGAAAAATAATAACAATTGATTCAGTAATGCGACAATATGGTGGACTGATATTATGATGTATTCTGGATACACTTACCTGAGTGCACAATTAATGGAAATAACCGAGTTACATTTTTAACAATATGATGAACACCTTCACGATAAACTACCAATTCATTAAGTCACAGTTATACATCGATTTTATGAAGTGATTCACGAGCACCTACTCTTTGGCAAAAACGTCGTATTACTTCAAATGATGTTCTACATTTAGTATTTGCAGGAAGGCTGCCGGCTCAATAAGAAAAAAATCAAGCTTATACAACAGACCCCCAGGTGACATTACGAAGGCAGTACCGGCGGTTTTTTCATCAGATGCAGTCCTAACGTCAATGATAGCAAAATTTAACTCAAAAGGAGGGAATGTTGCAATCATGCAATGCTGCTCACCTAAAAACAAAGCGAACTGAGAAAAGAAAGAGGAATTCTGAAGATAGCTGCAAGCAGTAATGAACAAGTCCCCAACCATATGACAACATTAGAACTCTTACGGGTTACATGAATGGTGAACTGAAAGCAAACAACACAAGAAGTGAACCCATAATGGGTCAAAAAGTGCTTGGTAAAATAAATGAGAGCGGAGAACTCTTCGTACAGTTCAGGGCCTTTAATCATTTGGTGTTGGAAGACAGTGTGTACAGCTACAAGGATATACACAAGGTAACGTAGGCCCTACCAGATGCAGACACTAATAGTCAGACAGACTTCATCTTAATCTCAGGAAAGTGGAGACGAAGTTTACTGCACACAAAATCGAGAAGAGGAGCACATGTAGGTAGGTCAACATCAAAATATAGTGCAAAGAACCTTCAAGATCAAGTTGAAAGCCGTCAAAGAAGAAGAAAGTTGTAAACGACAATCTATCCTTACCACTCACAAACTGAAAGACAGAGTGACAACAACTGACACCTTCACTCCAGTCATCATGAAAAAGTCACAGACACTAAACAACATTATCAAGGAAGCCTGAGTAGAAGAACACCCGAACCCTGTGAAAGTCACATGGAAGGAAGCTTGTACAGACGTCTCAAGTAGGCAGGCAGGCAAGCAAAATGAAGAGACAAGATAAGGAATGCCTCTCTACGAAAACATGCAAGTTGATAGATGGGAGAAGCATGGGTGAAGCAGAAAATCAAGTAGTCATCAGGAGGTAAACAACGAGGGGAGAAGCTGAGCAGCATAATCTACAATGAGCTGAGTCAATGAATCAGTAAGTGAAGAAGAGTGCTAGAAAACACGAAAGATGCCTTACGACACACTTGAAACTGAGTCAGAACACACTGCACGGAAAACACACACCTCACAACACTACACCCAATAACCAGGTAGGTCACCACCACCACCACTCATTATCCGGGAAGAAATGAACGCAGACGAAATCAGTGAAAGATGGTGAAGGTAACCAAGTAACCAAATCAAACAGGCAGAACACAGAAAACACTGGTCTAATCACTTCAAAGAACTGTTCAATTGACCACCACCACCACCACCTATCTACACCAACTGATCTACTAATCTATCTACAAGTCGTCCAGAAATACCACCACCAGACACACGATACACAATTACTACCAGTGAACGCCAACTCGATTACGAATCGAAATCCGTGAAGGCCATTAGGTGGTGGTTTATAAAAGCTTGGAAAGCAGCAGGACTAAGTGAAGTCACCCTTAGTAATCAAAAAAGCCCAAGAGATGTCATTGGACAAACTCACAGGATACTAGTATAGTTGTGATAGGAAGAAAAGGTGCCCGTCCTTAATACTTCACTTCTTACACTAGAGGTTTATAGGCTGCAGAATGATATGACAAGGCACACTACAATCAGGAAACCAGTCTTTGAAACTGCACTCTTTCCTTGTAAGTTAAAGTTAATTGCGTTGGCTTTAGCGAACAGTAATGAAAAACTCATACGAGAAACAAAATGACCACTTACCAACGGCAAATATCAGTCGAGTACACATTCAACGGGAAGTCTCACGGTGTATGCATAATTCCATATAACTCTTCTACAGCGACGCTAAGTTTTCAAAGCATACAACACCTACCTGGATGGAATCTTGTCATCGGTCTTCCACCTCCAAACATAACTAAGGATTCAAAATAGGCCGTCTCTAATCTGAAACGAGTCAAAGCAGCAGCACCTGGCGGAATCACTCCAGAGGTATTTAGGGACGGTGGTGACCAGCTGTTGTCTGGGTTAACTAAGCTGTTAGGTGATGTGTGCGAGTCAGAGATAGTCCCGTTGTGCCGGTGTAAATCACTGACTATCCCAGTTTATAAGAAGGGAGACAAGTCTTCCTGTGAGAATCATACGGGAATACGCTTGACTCATATGGTATCTAAAGTCCTAGTTACAATAATCATGCGTAGACTAAGTGGTGGTAGGGGGGAAGAAGTTCGGGAAAACCAGGCAGTCTTTGCTCCAGAAAGCAGGTGTATTGATCACATCTTCACTATTCGACAGATTTTGGAACGTACGCATACTTACCGGCTGGTGTCCAACACTTGCTATGTTTCTTAGTCTGAAGACAGCATTTGACTCTGTCGATCGAGAAGTGCTGTGGCAATATCTGACTGTTGAGGATGTACTGTGTTAGTGTATATCGAACCACTCAAGTCACTGCTTGGATTCGTACAACCGTATAAGAGCCGGGGGGTTGTGGTGTTGACAGTCTGTGGAGTTCGTCTGGGATGCTCAGTGTTCGCATTTCTGTTTATTTTCATGACCGATGTATTATTATTATTATTGCTCCCTTGGGTTCCTAGTGGAACATAGGGCTTCAACTGCACGTCTCCATTTTCTTGCATTGTGTTTGATGTTACTGCTCGTGAGGAACAAACGATTATCTGAACAAAACCTGATAAGACAACCACCTTTTTCGGTTGGTCAGCATGTCACTTTATAGGTACCACCAATATTCTAGCACAAATCCTCAAATTGAGGATTGAAGTTGCCCGCGAAAACGACTATATCTGAGCATCTTACTTCTAGCGATAAACCAGACAGCTCTTAAGAGAACTCATCGTTTATTGCCCATTTATCCATCGTAACACCTCACCAATGCTGAGAAAAAATTTGTGTTAATATCTTCGAACATGATGTTTATTAGCAATTGCCAATTACCAATCTGAATCAGTTGGCCTAACTATCGTAGTTTATTGTTGAATGTTGCCTACTGAGTTAGATGGTTCCAATAATAAAATGACTAGAAATAACAAGTTAAGAAACACTGTCAGACCACCCTATTCCAGAAAATGAGTACTAATTAGAATCCAAATTACCAACCAAAAATTGGAAATATTTAAAAGATAAAGAGTATCAAAAGCCGGGCATACTGTCGCTTGAGATTTTAACAATTACTCATTTCAGAAACGTTCTAAATCTTCATGAATTCAAATAGGAAAGGACTATATAGAAACACAATACTAGATGAATTCAAAAACCTCATAAGGACTCGACACCTGGATACTCTCATTATCATATTTGAATGTGTTTTTACCCGCTGTTGAACATAATAATCACTTGTTTTCAACTTGATCATCTCCTTGGTGTGTATTTTAACCCTGAAATCCGATACAATTACACTCACTCTTCAACTGCCGAGTCGTAATTTATGAATTCATTAGGTATTGCATTTCTTACATTTATTATTTTCTTCCAAGCTATTTAATTTTACTTTAGTATTTCGTTTTTTTCTAGAGAAAAAGAAAAAGTACAGCAATACACCGATTTTACCTTGCAGATATATGAAGCAGTGTCTCCCCAGTATCTGGGATCCTAAGATTCAGTAAACGATATAAATGTGTTGACTTATAAATCATGTTCCAAGCAGCTATTTGATTCATTGAGTTTTGTAGTATCATCTGTGAAGGATTACCATAATTGTTATTAGTACTTGGTTTGTCTATATGAGTAAGGAGTCGACATACTGAATTAAATTCAGTATTTTCATAGTTGTTTTGAGATTTACTGAGTGATATGAATGCACGTTGTTGTTGTTGTTGAAAGGTCTCACAATTGGCAAGGTTTGCTGACTCTTCACTGTCGTAATAATCAAGTATAACTTTTTGAAGGCATCTTTGGAAACTATTCAATTCGGCTTGTGGGATTGCTTGTAAAAACTGGTATAAGTCTTGCATAGTTAGATAATTATTAAGATTTTCATTCTGTTGACATTCGAGATCATCGAAATTATTCATCCCATTCATAGTAACAGTTGTTGTCACCGTGCTACTTGTACTACTATTATTGTCATTTTCTGTAAATGTTACTAGTGGTGTATGTGAGTGCTGTGGTTTCTGTGGCTGATGTGATAATAAAAATGAAGACATATTTGTATATTGTTGGTTTGGTGAATTACATGACGTAGATATTGTTGGCGAATGCATAAAGTACTTCCCAACTGATGAAGTGTAACGATTATCAACTAAATTACTCACACTGAGATCATTATAGTCTGTGATGTGATTACTTCGTAGCGGTGATGAATTCTGTAGAAAAAAAAGCAGAAATACAACCCATAAGTCAAACTGACGGAAATTTAATTGATTTCGGTGTAGATTTCATTGCAACTGGATATAAACTAGGGGAACATTGAAGACCAAGGAGCACGAATGGATGGCTATATCATGAATTACCAAGTAATGGTTTGTAAGGATTTTATTTGATTGGTTGGAGGATTTCATCATAAGCTGACATCAGTTAGAGAACCATTGGAAGTACTGAAGAGTTGTTTTGTCTTACCTTGGGACTCTTCAGTGGTACGCACCCGCCAGAGCTTCAAATAAATCTAAATTACAACATTATTTTGATTCTCAGAGGTTTATTTCTGTGAATTCTCTAAAGGTCAGTATTCTGGAGCTTTCACGCTACCTACGCAAGTTAATTACATTAATGACGATGATGATGATAATGTTGTTCACATGATGTGGTAAACAGAATGAAGACAGAAAAATCGAAATTTATGAAAATCTAATCAAAGGCTACGATTATTTTGGGAAAACAATTCACACGAAATTACAGTTATTAGGTTCTTTGTAAACTGTATTGTCTCTCTTTCTAGCAATCTCAAATCCAACTATCTTCAATTGGTGAGAAACATTGCATTTTGTTACCTCCACTAAACAAGACTGTAAATCCTATTGAAAATTCACACTTCTAGTGTCTATTTTTAGTCGGATCCACAAAAATAAGAAATTAAAAGCTGTTTATTAAAACATTTAGTAAGATGAACAACAAACCAATCGGTCACAATCGCTTTGAGGATTAATCCAATCAATACAAAACCATTTAAAGGGGTATCTTCACTACATGTACTATGAATTCATTTACCAAATACTCCTCTTATGTGTAATGATAAATACATAACTGTCTGCTAACCATTAGCATAGATTAACAGACTATATTTCTTCATCCTAGTGCAGCAAATGAATTGGATAGTTATTGAGATCCTAGTTACATTATTTTAAATCAATTGTCAAGTTGAGCGTAATCACAAGTAATAAACAAGAGAGTACTGATTCGCGCCATAGACTGTCATATATGAGTACTTATAAGCGAGAAATCTGTTTCGAAGCTAGACAGCAGTGGTGATGAGATTGGAACTTACTGGTCAGACTTGGAATGAAATGGTTTTTCTGAAGATAATTTTCTTTTCTAAAATTTAATTGTCCTGAACTTGAAGTATCGTGGATACCTAAGTATGTTTTGCTTTTATGTGATACAGCTTGGTAATCAACTAGTGCATTCGACTCATCCATTTGAATTCTAATAAAGTATGAGACAGCTACACTGATAACCACAAAAATGTCAATACGAATGAGTTGGCTATGTATTCATATCGCACTACTTGTTGGCATTTGACAAAAGTGCATAATATGATTGAAAAAAAAACGAAGACCCGGTTCGATGGTACTCAATATATGTGCATTATACTGCAAGGGTTAGAAATAGTACAAAGTGACACGAAGTCACTGCTTAAAAATGTCAAAAAGTAAAGCAACACAAGAAAGAATCATTATTAATTTAATGCAAAAGTACGTTTTATATGACTTATTACTACGATAAAATCATGGTTTGTTTGGAAATTTTTTTTTCCTTCACGTTCCCCAGTGGAACATAGGGCCTCAAGCTAGAGGCTTGAAGTTTCTGTAGCAGTGTTTATTTTACAGGATGGGGTTGCCAGCCTCATGCCCAATATTTCCTCTTTACCACCTTTATTTCTGGCTTAGCGAGGTAAAGGAGTTCGTCGGCCGGGGATCGAACCTTGGATCGTGTGCATGGTCGGCAAGCGTCCTAACCACTATGCCACCGACGCACACTTGTTTGGAAATTGGTACCTCTATATATGCAAATTATGCGTACCTTATATTCTCTGTGTTCCTTTCACGTCTCCTGTGTGTCTCTCCACAACGCTGTATCATTTTCCTTCTATGATATAAAATCCATCTCCGTGTGATTTGATGTTCTTTTTTATCCCGATGAACATCTCTTAATATACTACTGACGAATAGTATCAGTAGCACTCGCCACAACAATTTACAGTATAATGTTGTTTTGAAAATCTTCAAATTACTGGCTTCTAAAAGATGGTACCACTTTATTCTGCTAAAACTGTAGTTCTTGATTTGTTCAAATTCTAAAATTATCTTTGAAGAAATACATTCCTTGTTCTGTTGATTAACAATTACTATTCTACTCTGTAATGCAGGTTTCTCGCATTAAAAAAACTTCAATCACTGTAAGTGTTTAAACAATGTTATATTAGGATGAATGGAAGCTCCAGACATTCAAGTCAACACTTTTTAACCTTCATAACGGATTAGTTCTATACTTCTCTAGAATACTAAACGGGGGTCTATGCTTAATCTTAATTCCAGTGATGAACTCTATTGAGAATTATTTGGGCATTTGTAAGAGCTCTTATGTGAATGTGAGTGATGAGTCAGAAATAATTCTGTGTTCATGAATCTGTATTATACCTAAATTATTTTTGTGATATTAATATACGACAATGACGTCAGATGTGAAACCCATTCACTTCCACTTGATAATATATTTACAGTTATCTAAATCTAGCTCAATACAGTTCGCGGATTATCTAAAGAAAATATTGCAAAAACAATAACTGTTTGTTTGCAAGCGCCAAGTATAGCTGTTTAATGAAGTGAAACTATAGCACATGGAAACGTATCTTTCATTTTGAGTATTGTCCGATTGCATGAAAACTGATTACAAAAGAGCAGACAATTTAGGAAAGAGTTAAGTGTAAAATAATAGCACTAAAATTAGTTAGATTTCAATACATTGTAGCTATTTACCGGAGATTCAAGTTGACAAATCGAGTGAAGCCAATAGCAAACAACCTTTGACTTTGCCTTGTTTTCAAAATTAATGAACTGAACTTCATTGAAAGTAATTAATATTAAGTAACTCTGTTTTCCGTCTTAGTAAGCACTTTGTATTTTCTTACACTCTCATTCAACCAACCAACATGCTGTTTTTGAGGTTTATATATCACTGGCACTATATAAGTGATAGATTGAATTGCCGAAGACAGTTATTGTTCCTATTTTAAAATGATAATTACATGAATTCAAATAGTGTTGTTACTCGACTGTCAAATGCCCACACTACAAAGTTTAATTTAAAGTAACTTGCTGTTTTCAACAAAACACTAAACTTGACTTATTGCATTGGCGTACGTTTCAATATCAAAATAGACCACAACATTCATGTAGCTTTATAAAGATATTTGGATTATATAAAGCGAATTGGAATTTTAAAGAAAAATTACTTGGCATAAACCATTATTAGAACTTACATTGTAGTCTACAGTCAATAGGTAAGATGGCGTACTACCATGTGCTTTACCACGTAATATTTCAAAACACTTATTTAATTCATGAACAGACTCAACTTTGGTTTGTATACCGTTAATTTCATCTCCAAATGTTGTTGAATAAACTTCCAAACCTGACAGTTTCGATGATGTGTATTTATCATCTTTGAGTTCTGAAGCTTTGTAGTTATTGAATGAATTATGGATTGTTATTTGATCATGAATTGAACCAGGACTAGGATACCATATTTTTGCTCTGAAAACCTAAAAGTTTAAAAATAACATGAGAGAGATTTTTAAGGAAACTAAGCTAAGCCCTTTCTAATTGATTATGTTATCTAAGCTTAACTTTTAAAACGTTTCAAAGTACGGATTTAGCTGTTCTATGTGGATAACGCTTTGGCGTTTGAAACTATGGGTACTGGGTTCGAGCCTCGGTGAAGACATCATCACCCACTCATCGATTCCCATTTGGGTTCTACTCGAGGGTCAGATGCGCTATGTCATTCGACGGTTTCATCAATGTATGCCCGATCCATCTCCATTTTCTCCTACACATTTGTTGAGCGATCGGCTCTTGGGTTCTGATATCTGTAGTAGCAAAGGCATCCTTTTTAGTTTTTCCTTCACTTTATGAATGCTGAACTTGAATTACAGTGGCCTGTCTCCATTTGTTTCCATGGATTTCAGCTTCAGCTTGAAGGTTCCTTGAACTAGATGATGGTCTAAGCCGCCCACATCTGCTCTTCTTCTCGACTTTGTATCCAGCAGGTCGAGTCTCCACTTCTTTGAGCAGCATTGAGATGAAATCTATCTGGTTTGGGGTATGTCCGTCAGGTGAAATCCATCTTGCTTTGTGTATATCCTTGTGTTTGTACACGTTCCCCCCAATCACTAATTCACTGAAAGCGCAGAAGTCTGCCAATAATTCTCCGAGAGGCTTTTGACCCATGATGAGCTCTCTTCCTGTGATATCTGCTCCCAAAGTGGCTGGAATTCATATCGCCCATGTGTGCACAGCTGTTCTTTTTACTTTATACAAATATAGAAACATATTTACAAAGCTATGGCTCAAAGGAAAAAGTTTCAACATGACTAGTGATGGTGTACAGCCCAAGTATATATTACTATTTCTTTTTTGAAAGTATTTTACAGGCAAGTCATTTAAAAAAAAAACTCAAAGACTGGTAGATAGTAGTGTAGTATTATCTATGCCAGAGTAAAAAGTAGTAGTTATTCTCAGATTAAAATCAACTGATTACATGAAAAAAATAAGTCCAGTGTGGTAAATTCTTTTAAACAATAAGGCTGTAACAACAGAAGACAAGGGCCAGGCAACAGATCGTTTATTAAGGAAACCAACACGTATTTATATATTTTCATGCACATCATTATAGCTTTCTCAAGGAAACAAATGCAGTCTTCTGATTGGTTGTTTCTCACAGAAAGTTTACCTTGCGACTCTTTGTGACTGTTGCTGGAATGTCAGATCATCTATATGTTAACTGTATCCGCCTACGCAGTGTGCTGTGGTTGTTTGTTGAATCAGTCTTTGTTCATATTTTCTCACGACCAATATTTGGGACATACGCATTGACGTAAATTGATGTCTACCAGTTTGGCTAGCAGCCTGCACTCACCACAAGGGAAATGATGACAAGACATAACAGTTGTAGTACTGGCTTTATAGGCTATTCCAACTACCATGTTTACTACAGTCATGCGATATGACGTACGGTTTTAGACATTTTGAAAGGTTATTCAAATAGATTAGAATAAGCGTGTTCAAACTCTACTGAACTTATAGTCACAAATGTTTAGATAGCATAGCAACACGCCTCACACTGTCACACCCAAATACCCCATTTTTACTAACACAAGAGGACATCCAGTCACACAACAAATGTGTTGATTATCAACATATATGCTCTTGGGTACCGCATTTTCTACCCACTTGAGCAAAACATTAGTTTATGACAGGTGGCTAGTGTAGTTGCCGTTAACCTCCTTCATAATCATCCCACTATTTGACTGTTCTGTGGTGCGAATTCCAAAGTTTAAATACTTTGTTCTAATTTGTACCTGTACGAATTAGCTCCAACAACATTTTGTGCTTTTCTTTTGTGTTGTCAATGCACGAATTCTTTGAGTTTCTGATAAAACCATATCCGTTCTAGACCTTTTTGTTGAATAATCTTTTCCTTAATAACCAAGTATTTTTGATTTGCGTTTGGTCGTTAGTACTTACAGGCTAGGTATAGTGAAATTAATGGATGATACATGGGGAAAATTGCATTAAGTAAGGACTGGTAAATGGTAGCTTATAAACAGCACCATCAGGACTTTACAGTTTTCTGTCTATTTCCATTTAATTTTACTGTCTTATTCTATAAGTAACAGTTTCCTGGCAAAAATATTGTTGTCATTATAATAACACTTCGGTCAGTTATTTGAATGCATTTTGATATCCATTCACAATTACAGCTTGACTAACAGATTTATTGAAACTAACATCACTTGGTTTATGTTTGCTCAACTAAGTGAATTTGGTAGTCGTCATTCAGACAATCAGTTAATTATTACTGTTAATTAGAAGTTTAGTTTCTAACCACGCGTGAGGAAATTCCACCAATTATATGTACGTTCATGTAATTTACAATAAGCCACCATGCCTATTGTATGGTGGCTGAAAACGTTACTCAACTGTTCAAATCCGAACAAGCAGAGAGAGATATTTGAAATAGTCTCCATTCTAGTGTGTCATAAATATACAAGGAAGAGCACATCATTTCTCGGCTGAGCATGAAATAAAAATAGTTTTCACATTCGTTTGCAAACTGCAGTGAAATAAATAAGTGAAGTATGTGTATTGCTATATCGTAATCGATTATAAGCAGTATTATTTAATTTCCATACACTAATGGCTTTTGAAATAGTTATATGTATCCACACATGATGCTTAACGCTTGGTGTATGTTGCCTAGTACATAGAATTCATTTAGAATAAATTTAGGTATGAAGGTTTACTTGGGTTGCTTTGCATTTCTACCACTGGGAAAGGCCTGTCATCTCGTAAAAAATATCAATATAATATCAGTTATTATTGAAATTGGATCATTTTAGAATTTCCTGTTGACTGAAATGCTCAGTATCTGTCGAAATGTTTGCTCCCAGTATGAACGCTTCAACGAAGCCTGAACCGAATAACGTTAGTGGTAACTTTAAAGTATTGTCAAACTATCCATACTGTGGCGAGAGCTGGCTGCAAGCCGAAATTCTGGACAACAATTTACATCAAAGTTCACGTCCCGAATCAGGGTCATTACAAAAACAATAACAAAGCTTAACTTTGAGAAAATCACCAGCCAATCACAGCGGAGTTGGCGTGTGGAAATATGATTCGCAGACATATGGCTTGATTTTCTGAGCAACGGCCACAAAGAGATAACATAATAACCTTCAGCTAGAAAACAACCAATCTGAAGACGTTGATTCTCCACCAACGATAATGTTCACAGAAATCTATAAATATTTCTTGATTTTCTCAGTAAAATCTGTTGCATGGTCCTTGTGTTCTGTCGTTACAATATTACAAGCTAACATGTTAACAAAGACGGAGCATCTCGACCCGATAAAATTTCAATAAACAACTGATAGTCGTCGCACACGAATGGATCTCTTAGCCCAGTGGTCTAGTAGATAACACTTCTAAGTTGGAAATGATGGGTGTAGGATTCATTTTGAAATTTATACATCTACCTTATAAGTCCCGAATAGGAAGAAACGCCCAGTCTGGATTCTACAGCTAACCATCAGTCAAGTAACACCATGATTCAAGTTATTTGAAACCAACGTTTTCTTGGTCCATGAGTTTAGGATTGATCATAGGAAGAGAATGGGGGAATTTACATTGACAATTTAAATGGAATTCTTAAAAATTGTTAATGGTATTCTGATATTCGTTTATCTATTAAATATGCTTACTTTTTTTAACGTTTTTTGTCCTAAATTTCCTTTGTTAAACGATCCATTAGTTGAGCGTAAATGACAATTTGATCGTTGACGTTGAATATGATTAACAGTGAATAATACACCAAATATAAATAATAAAACTAGAATACACAATATAAAAGAAGAGATATAAACTGACAGACTGTCAATTTTATAACGATTACGTTTCTTTTCTTCAGGTAACAGTGTCGCAGTATCTGGATTAATTGTTTGAACAGTGAGAATTGTTTGAAGTAAATCATGATTTCGATTGTGCATGTATGCAGTGAGAAACTGTGCAGCATAATCCACATTATGAAAACAAGGTCCACCTTGAAATTAAACAAAAAAGCGGGAATTAAGGAAGGCAAACAGTTAGCTATTAACACTAATGTTTGATTTTTGGTAGAAAATATGTTTTAAATCATGCGTCGTGGCACAGCAGTAGAATACTCGTCAACCACACACGTGGTTCGGGGTTCGATCACCGACCGACGCACTCCTTCACCTCGCTAAGCCAGTGATAAGACTGGTAAAGAGAGAGGATTGGGAATTAGGATAGCAAACCGATCCCGTAAAAATAAACACTACTGCTAACGGAACTTCAAGTCTCTAACTTGAAGCCCTATGTTCCACTGGGAAATTAAAGGAATAGGAAACAGAAATTTAAAAATCATGCGAATTTGTCTTTAGGACAATAAAAATTTGCAAGACAAACATGTCATAGTTATTAATAACTTCTCCATAGATGAAATCACCAACAAATTACTTTACAATATCTGAAACAGAATATAACGCTTTGAGGCTAAGCGCTCTGCTTGTTATACACTCAACTGGTAGATGTGCATCAACAATTAGCATCACACAGAAAGCATTGATTACTATCTGATTATAGACAAATAAGCACCATTCAGCTATATTGAAGCTCGTTAACAAACCTAATAATAATCAATTGACCTCAAAATTGAGCGATTCAATTTCAAATCCCTGAGAGAACATGAGTTCCACCACAGCTAGGGATACGAACGAATCTCAATCCAAAATAACCTCCCACCAATTTGCATCGAGCACCAATCACCGTGAACAACGTGTTTGACTATTTAGGTTAGTGGCCACGAAATACACATCTGGTTAAATGACTTCTTACAAAACTCAGGATTAGATAACTTCATGAATTTTTTGAGTTTTGCCATCTTACAAACAAACCTTTTAAGTCTCACAAAGCAGAAAATCCTTCGACTTTCAAAATTAAATAAATAGTTTGCTTTAAACAGCCTGAAACGGAAAAAAATCCTAAAAGAAGCCAATAGTTAGGGGATTATGGAAGACTAATTTAAGTGCTTACAACATATTTTAAATGTACCCCTAACCTGATTTCACACCTATAAGCGCGAATATCTCGTTGGACTGATTAGTGTAGTGATGCTACCAGAGTTATTTTCGATCACACAGAAAGAGTGTTTCTAGTCTTGTTGCCCACATTTTGTATGCGACTTTGTTAGACATTGTTCAAATGAAGTTAACATTCTTAAACGTGAATAGAAGTGTTAATAGCATACATGGATTGAAGCATTTCGCTGTTATTCTTTTTGTATCACTGCCACATCTTTATCTTAGAATATGTATACCTCCACTTATTTTAAGTACACACTAAAATAAGACATTAATAAAGTTAAACTACTGAAGAAAACCTCCTAAGCATGCGCGTGAGGATAATTGTGTGTTTGTGTGTGTGTGTGTGTATTCATGCATTTAAGTAAACGGGACAAAGTTATTATTTTGTCTATCAATGATATTTGAAAATATAAACGCAACTGTCGTTCCCCATCCGAACAGTGACAGTGATTAATTATAGACTAGTTCACTAAGCATTTTTACTATTTCTTCTGTGCAGTAAAACCCAGTCTAGATATGAAAGCAATGTGATGCACTCCTTCATTAATCCGTCATAGTTGCCCTACTTGCTCTTCTTCATCTACTTCTCCTCCTCCTGCTACTACTTCTTTACCGAATTTATCACCGTTGTTTCCCAATACTGGTTTTCATGAAACAAAAACATTAAATAAGCGAATGTCACACATTTAAAAGAACACAATAAAACACTTTCCAAGGGAACAAATACTTAGATACTCTCGAAAATGTCATCATTACTTCTAGTGAATGTAAGTCAGACTAATTTATCAATGTTTTACATGAAGAAGGGTATAAGTACACTTTATCAGTGTCATTGTTATTATTACTATCATTGATGCAAAACAGGTTAAGTCATGAGATGTTCTAGGCATAATTTATATTCCTCCTAAGACTTACCAACGTTATCACATCTCAGCTAATTTCCTATTGTGAATCTAGAAATATTTCAAACTATCCACATTAGCATATTTATCGCTTAGCAGTCTTTCTTTTGCAGTATTCACACTATTTTCTTCATAATAAATTGTCACAAGACCAAAATGTTTTAAACAAGAGTTTTGCTGGTTAACTCAAATATAAAGACTATCAGAACAAATACCAGTCATAAAAATTTAGGCGACAAGCTTTTTTTCAGTGTCGATCACCATGAAAGCTTCGAGCTGGACATTATTTCTGTTCCTTTTTTCCTTCACAATCCCAGTGGAACATAGGGCAGCAATGTTTAATTTTACAGGATGGGGTTGCTAGCCGCATGCCCAACCTCTCCTCTTTACCAGCTCTATTTCTGGCTTACCGAGGTAAGGGAGTGCGTCGACCGGGGATCGAACCCCGGACCATGTATATGGTCGGCGAGTGTCCTAACCGCTATGCCACCGACGCACTGTTCCCCGTTATCAGTAATATATATAAATGTGTATGTAAGAAACAACAAGGATACTTGTGGTATCCTTCACATTGAAAACACCTTTATTGAACAATATACTCCTAATCTGCTAAATTCATGGTTGACCCAATGTAAGACTGGATGATGCATACAAGTTGGTTGCAAGATGACATTCAACCTGGATCTATAATCTCAAGTCGAATAATATAGCAATAAAATCCCTCACTGTGAAATTAGAACATGAGTTCCCCTAAAGTTCCATATATACTTTACCAATGAGTGACACGACGTAAGTTGATGACTACTCAGCAAGTATTCTATAAAATCAGGCAAGATAAATAGAAGTACAATATAGTGAAAATAAGTTTAGTGTTACTTCTATTTGTGAACATAACTGACAAAGTTAACAGTGGAAGGTCATTATACCTCCCTTGACCTAGATGGCTTAATCAACTGATGACATCTTCACCACCCATTACTTATATTTTCAACGCGTCATGTTATCATCCTTTAATCTAATCACGTCATCATTAAACTACATTTTACCTACTTCCCTTACAATCTAGCATTATTTAGTCAGTTCATTTGTTTTTCTTAGTTTTTATCGACTACTTCCACCTGTTTGTTTAATCATACTGTTTTTCATTATTCTTGTCATCACAGATCACATTTTCATGCTTGTTATTGATAGAATTATTATTAATATTATTATTGACTAATTGCAAAATTTATATACACAATCTTATTATCCTATTGACAAAACACCTTGGCTGGTTTATATTTTAATATTTGCAATATTATGTATATTAGAGTTTAGCCTGATGAGATCTAATTGAAAAAATATTGTTCACTTAAATATAATGTTCTAAACTTGATTTACGTTCAAGATACCAACCATTCAAACCGCAGCCAACTAATTCAAATGTTTGTGTAACGATAGACGACAAGAGACTTGGTAACAGGATGTTTATTTCCAATTTGATATCTCGGTGGCACAGAGGTGAGGATGTTCGCCGACCACGCACATGGTCAGAGGTTCGATCCACCGCCGACGCACACCTGATATCAAATGTCGGCCTGCTAAATTTAGGCTACCGATGTCAAAAAATTCCATGAAAACTCCATAGTTGTACCAAAATAATAGGTGGAATCAAGTAATAAATAAAATATAAAAAAATAAAAAAAATCTGTACTCCTTTTCTTGTAAATATCTATTCGCACAGATCTCGTGTATTGTGCTACTTATGCCCTTCTTATTGTGTCTCTTTGTCTTCTTTTCGTGTCTCCCATGTTTTTCCTCAATACTGGCTCATTTGATCTCCTCGACGTCAAATCTACCTTTCAGCAGTTTGATACTTTTGTACAGATGAACGTTTCCTTATGTACTACTACGGATAAATCTTGTCAGCACTGACACACGCCACACTTGGAGTATTTGACGCAGAGACTAAGCATCTCGGATAGGCATACGCAAGGAGTCATATATATAGAAGATACCAATTACGATTTACAGACTGGTATATACAATGGAGGCAACTGTCTACCACGTGTTAAATACTGGTATTTATGTAGATAAAATAAATTCAATTTCTTTAATTGTTGTATAGGCTTATATTTAATATAGCTTAAATTTCCTAATGTCTCATAACACCCATAAGCAAAGTCAATCTAAAGCTTCAAGGAAACTGATGACCATCCCAGTATCTGAAGATGAATATCGCCTACTACTTCAATTAAAAACACATTGTCAATGATCAAGACAGATAACAAGTCGTTCTGAGTCGTATGACTATGAATTTTATTTGAATTAGGAACTCCACTGGAAAAAATTATTTGGGTGAATCAAAAAACTTACGTAGATGAGAGAACTTCACTGTTAATTTTCCACATCGTTAGAATGCAATTAAATTACACTATATTTTAGCAGGAGTTACAGCTAACCAGAGTAAGAATATTATATAGTGAGGCTAATGCAAAAAAACAATTTGGTGAAGAAAGATAAGTGCTTACTGTGGATTTATATTCTACTTTAGGAAATTTTTTATTAAACATAATTTAATTCAATTCAATTCTCGATTTTCCCGTTGATTGATTGGACCGAAGTGCCTGGTCTCAGGTTGACATGTCGGTTTCTTATGGGCACTGGGTTCGAGCCCCGGCGTGAACACCATCACCGTGGAATGCAGGTCCATTCAGGTGATGGGTCTCAAATAGGACGAAATGCGCCATCTGGATTCCACTACTAGTTACCATCTACCAATTAACTTCTAAACATAATTTAAGTCATTAGACAAAAAACGACAGTCTAATATTAATATAATGAGATGATAACTACAGTTAAACAGTCAGATACCAACATCTGAGATTATGGTCTTGAACACGCTGCTGATCAAATCCTGGTTTCGTTCACATCAGAGAGTTGGTTAGTCCATAAGTTATATTAAGGAGTGACAAGAGAGTCAGTTTAGAACTACCTACATAACATCATCTACCTATTTAACTCAATTGGCAGAATGGTAGGCTATAAAATCAGAC